GTCAGCCCTGGGAGGCTGTTTTTTGTGGTGGTGTCAGTTCTGCCCGGAGGGCAAGTCAGGGAAATTCTGACTCCGGGACCCTGGAACGACAATAAAGCATGAACGGTACGTCTAGCTATTCCAGTCGTCTAGTACTTCTCTAAAGACACAGGGCTTGGATGCTCCATATGAATATTTCTGCATGGTTCCTGCTTTGTTTGGTAAACAAACGAGCCCTGTATAAATAACGCAGACCGTGGAGTACACAGAGGTCATGCAAAGGAAAATTATATTGTAACAAAAGCAAAACTAATAACAATAACAAGGGACCACATATATCAGTAAAGCAAGATGGGAGCACATCCAGCCTGTGCTAAAGTCATTGCACTGGCTGCCAATAGCATACCAAATTCACTTCAAGGTGCTGGTACTCACCTTTAAAGCCCTATATGGCCAGGGTCCGGCATCCCTGAGGGACCGCCTTTTCCCATATATACCCCAGAGAGCGCTACGCTCAGGAACACAACACCTACTGACCATTCCAGGCCCTAAGGACGCCAGGCTTGCTGCCACCAGGGCCAGGGCCTTTTCAGTGGCAGCTCCTTACTGGTGGAATGAGCTCCCGGAAGAGATCAGGGCCCTGTGGGACCTTTTGCAGTTCCTCAGGGCCTGCAAGACGGAGCTCTTCCGCCAGGCTTTCAAGTAGGAGCTGCCCACCACTACCACCAACTACCACTATTGAACATCTGTGGTAGAGGCCCGGCCCTAGTGTGGAGAGAGAGCCATATCTCCGCAGGAGGCCGGAGGATCGCTGAGCTAGGAATTTTGGGGGTATATCTTAGAGAGTGCCACTTTAGCTAATAAAGTATGGACAAGACTGTGAGCACTTTAACTACTAGAGTGTTTTAACTGTATGACTGTTTTAATTTGTTTAAAATGTTTTATGGAGAACAGGTACATTGTACCGACCTTTGTAAGGTTGGTGGGGAGGGTGGGGTATAAATGTAACTAATAAATAAACAAACTAATGAATAAACTCTCCTGCGTCCACCCATGGACAGCTGATCCCCAGAATTCAGCCTCGTTGGTCTTCCAGGTGCCTGACTGGCCGCTGGACCCCAACTGGGTTCCTTCCTCCGGATTGGCAGGAGTGACACGGTTTGCAACCAGTGCTCCCTCTAAGCTGAGTGGGTGTGAGCCGGCTCACCGCTTTTCAGGCTCCGGCTCACACCTTTTGGTCTCAGCTCAGGAAGGGATGGCTCCAGAGCGAACGAATCTACTGCAGTGGCCAGATTTGCTCGCTCACCCCTTTCATGCCAGCAGCTCACAAAGTGGAGTTTTTGCCCACAAGACCCCACAGCTCGGAGGGAGCATCGCTCAGGAGATGCGAACCAGGCAGAGGGTGGAAGGGAGCCGGGCTACAAGTCCAGGGAAGCCTCTGCCGCCCCAGGTCCTTGCTGGAAGAGGCCGGGCGAGGGAAGCCGCCACAAACCGCTGGGGCCCGAGGGGGGGGGGGAGACCGGCGGCTCCTCCCCCTGACCCTCTGCCCGGCCTTCGCGCCTCCCCCAGGCCTCGGGGCGCCCCCCCTTCA